CATGCAGCTCTCAGATTCGAAAAGAAAAGGACCGATTTTGCTATGGCACCGGTAGCGATTGCACCGGCTAATTGAGCGAAAGCAGTCTGAAAGAGCTGATTTGAACCCTGAGCACTTGAAGCTCTCTATGGACTCACGAAAAGGATCACGAATGTCAGAATTTTAGAGTGCGATAAGAGGTAGATCCGGTAAGAGAAATAGCTTTGTACGAGGAAAGCCACTAGGACATAAACTTCTCAGTGAACTTCCGAATGCGATTGTGGAGGTAACTCACCGAGGCCATCTATAACGCAAACGTCGAACCAGATGGTACCGACCTGGTTGAGCGAATCTACTGACCCAAATCCATATGCAAAGTTGCGGAAAGCATCCTGCGTGACCATGATTGTTTGTATAGTTTCGATGATGTAGACACCGTAGACAAGAGCCTGGAACGCTTTCTTATCCCTCGGGAATGCGGTATAGTAAAGGTCTGTAGCAATGACAAATCAACAACATGAATGAGACGAGCAAACGGTAACTTGCATGTTTGAACGGACAAAACACCGAAAAGTCCCCAGTTCATGAGATAACCCAGGAGCTTTTTTGTTCAATGTTAAACTTGAGCAAATCGATGGAGCTGGGAGTGGCTCACCAGAGGGCCCGCGCTGAAAACCTCGGTTAGCGATTGAGACGCGCCGAAAAGTTGGGAACCCACATATGTGAGATGTTGGGAGGGACCGCAGACATTGTACGGTGGGGTGGACTATGAGGTCGAAGGGTTCTCCATCTAACCAGAGTCTACACGCAAAGGCGCGTTATATATGGACTCTTTGAAATCGTGTGGGTTCCCAGGCTTGTCCGAGTCCGCAAATGATTTGGAGCCGAGCAAATCGAAACTTGTTAAGGAAGTGGTGAATTGAAGAGGTGTTTTCGTCTCGGAACATTGATTTACGAGTCTGATAGGTTTCCGAATTAGAAGATCTAAGTAAGAGTCATGATACCCGAGAATCTCTGATTCCTCCAGAGGTATCGTTTCAACTTTCATTGTTCGGGAGCACCATGTATGAACAGCCTGCGGGAGGTTCTACGTGAGTGGAGTTATAACTCCTAGGGAAATTAAATTGACCTCGTTTCTGGGATGTTACCGATCCTGGCAGTGCGGGGTACGTGTACACACAGATCCTTGCGGGCTTGCAGCTTCATGACGATGCAGACAGAGGAGAACCAGGGTTCCTCATTTTGATCCGCAAACGTTTTCTGACGCACGCGGGCCTTCCTCAACGTTCAACACCAACGCTAACACGTCATGCGTCATGAGCCGCCGGGTTTTTCTTGGAAATTGTACCATGGTAGTGGCTGGTAGTGGCACCTCAAGACATCCTCGGAACCGTTAATGTTGGCTTAGATCTACCACGTCCTTGATTTTCCCAAGAATTTCGGCCCTGCAATACCGTGGAATCTCTGTCTCGCTCCCTCAACTTCCAGTCTTGAAGAGCAATGGGATCAAAAGACTCTAGAGCGACTCTCGACACGAAATTGAGGATATTTTGTTCGTGGTATCCGAGGAGAATATGAAGGATCAAAGGAGGGTCGGTTTAGAGCTGGGTGTCTATTAGTGGTGAGTTTTTTTTAACCATTAAATTGCTCCATCTCATGACAAGCCAGGTTCGTGCAAGATAGGGCAGAACCTGTTCCACAAGCGACGCTTCCAGAACCGCCTTGAGGACATATCGTGCAGTACAAGATATCTCGACACTTGGCATCTGCTCGTTCGACAGTTTCAGAAGGCCTTCAGCGTTGCCAGATGTTGGCCGTTCTTACGTCGGCGGAGCACGAACGCGTGAGCCTTGAGGCTATTATGGTGATCCGTGCTACAGTAACTTGGCAGACGGGTTTTCAATCACCTTATACACATGGATGAGCGAGCATCTTTGTTTGATCTGCATTTGTGGTATGTATAGTTTCAATCATCGTCAGGAGTCTAGATGTGTTGAAACTAACAGATGATGGGATAGTAGACGTGCTTCTGCCGCTCGAATTCAAAGCTGTTCTACTTTGAAGCATCCTCGCCATGGGTACCTATTGAACGATAACAAAAGAAGATCCATACCTGGCAACCCATACTCCATATCTGTTCTAATTATCTCTCTGATATTGATGGAGGGCCACGAATTCCGAGGGTATGTCCCGTCCATCTTGATCATCACTCGCTCTAACAATCTTAGCAAGTTCTCGCAGCAACTTCCCTTCACTCCTCTGAATGATGTTCTCACGATTGGATCACATTCGTCATAGCCGTGTAGGATATAAACTTGAACACTACCCAGGGTCGGAGCAACATAATTCAGAATGCCCATCGTGACATCGGCTGATGCCTTTACTGCTAACGAGTTCGATTACATCGTTGTTGGAGGTGGTACAGCGGGGTTGGTTGTGGCGACAAGGTTTGAGGGTTTGTTCTTCGGGACGCATATCTCCTAGCTGACCTTGCTCTTATCAGGTTAAGTGAAGACCCTAGCGTTGTTGTCGGAGTTTTGGAAGCAGGTGTCAAACAAGATGAAGACGATCCTATTATCAACATACCTGGTATGTCTGTCGTCATCAATGAGCGCGTATCTGATTGAAGCCTCGCACCATCGCCAGCAATGATTGGAAGAGGTGTAGGCAATCCCAAATATGATTGGGTGACTATGACAACTCCTCAGCCCAACGCGAACAATCGTGAGCTGCTCATCAGCAGAGGCAAAGGTCTCGGAGGATCAGCTTTGGTATGTAATATGTGTTTACGGCGATGTGGCGACGTTAACAGGGCGTCCGTAGATCAATTATCTTTATATGGCTCGGCCTGCGAAAGAGGAGTTCGACAGGCTTGAGACCCTTGGTAACCCTGGCTGGAACTGGGATGATGTATTGTCCTATATGAAGAAGGTACAAACAGCCATTGTGTGCCCATGTCCCCTCTAAATATGCTCCTCTAGAGTGAGAAATTGACGCCGACTGATCTGCCTCCTGCTGAGAGCGAGAAGTACGCCATTAAGACCAATCTATCTGCTCATGGAACGAGCGGTACGTTCGTTACTTTTGTTCCAATACTATGTTGCTGATGTAGTTATCCAGGCCCTCTCGAGAAATCCCTTGGACTCAACTTTTCAGATTTCCACGCAGATTTTATTGAGACTGTCAACAGATTAGGCATACAGAAGAACATGGACCCGGTATGTCTGTCATATCAGCACACATTGCCCGAAACTGAATCCAAGCCTCAGAATGATGGCGAGCTCAATGGTATATCGACCGGTTTTTCGAGTATGGATACCAAAACTGCCACACGTTCCTATGTAACATCCGCCTACCTTAAGCCAAACCTCGATAGACCAAACCTTGTTGTCCTCACCAACGCCCAAGCTCACAAGGTATGCCATGTCTTGTTGGTTCGACTACGTTACTCATACCCCCATGCCATAGGTGTCTCTTGAAGATGACTCGAACAATCCAGGGTCGAAGGTAGCGACAGGCGTTGATTTCGTCTATGACGGTGTAACAAAGTCCGCAAAGGCCAAGAAGGAAGTAATTCTTTCTGCGGGTGGGTAAACGAGGGTACAGTATTAAGCATCGTTCTGAACCACAAACAAAATAACAGGTGCCCTTGGCAGTCCCCGTATTCTTGAGCTTTCTGGGATCGGCAACCCAGAAGTGCTATCCAAGTTCTCGATACCTACTGTGATCGATTTACCTTCTGTCGGAGAGAACCTACGTGTGTGGCTCTGCATCTGCTTCTGGGTATCGTGCTAACTGCTGTGACAGAGGATCATACGATGTGCTTTGCCATTGCGCAAACGAGTAAATACGAGACCCTTGATATGCTGGCCGACCCGGAGGTCTTGAAGCAACATCAAGCGCTCTAGTGGGTGATACAATTCCATTTTCTTGAATACACGCTCATGTTCATTCATAGCGCTGAAAAGAAAGGCTTACTCGCCTCCAGTCCAACACCAGCATTTGTTTACACACCTGCTAGTATCTTTGGGACTCCAGAGCAGGTAGCGGCATGGAAAGCTGAACTGCGTGATCCTGCGAGCCTGATCAAAGCAGAAACACCAGAAGCCGTGAAGAAGGGTATTGCCAAACAGTATGCGTTACTCGAAAAGACCTTCACCGAGAGTTTCTCCGTTCATGGAGAGTAAGTGCTTGCTCTTGTCGACTTGAGTGAAGCTGATGGTATGCTTCACGCAGGATCGCTGCTGTTCGTGGACATCTCCCCACACCAGCACACCAAGGCCTTCCAGGTGCCAGGTATATCACCCTACCAGCTTTCCTCTCCCAGCCTCTCTCGCGAGGAAACGTGCATATCACGTCTTCAGATCCCTCCGTCCAGGCTGCTGTTAATCCTAGATATTTGTCTGTCGAGTCAGACTTGCAAAAGCTGATTGGGATCTTCAAGCTAAACTTCAAGCTCTGTAATCTTCCACCGCTGGGTGACGCTACGCAGGATATTGTGTTGCCGGTCATTCCCAAAGGCGCGTCTGAAGAGGAGGTCGATAGGCTGTTGACGGAGTATGTTAGGAATAATGTAAGTTGTTGCCACTAATTTGATAGTATGTGATATGGCTGACGATCAGTACTTAGGCTTTGCCTGTGTTCCATCCTGTAGGCACCGCTTCGATGTTGCCTCGTGAAGACGGCGGTGTTGTTGACAGCAAACTGGTTGTCTACGGGACATCTAATCTGAGAGTCGTTGACTGTTCAATCTTGCCGATGGTGAGTTAATCGTGGTATGACACCGAAGTGCCTCCCGCTTATACAATTCCAGGAATTGTCAACACACTTGCAGACTACGGCATATGCGATTGGGGAGAAGGTAAGTTACCAGTCTTGACGATGCACGCGCGTCACTAAGGAGATTACAGGCTGCGGATATCATCAAAGGCCGACGCTAGGTGTATTTAGTACAACACATGAATACCCGACGGAGAATGGAAGGGACGACTTGTACATTTTATGTGAATAGACAAAAAGCTTGGACACTGTGGGAATTGAACCCACGACCTCACGCAGTCGAAGATGCGAAGCGTGCGCGCTACCAACTGTGCCAAGTGCCCGCTGTTTAATTGTGAAAGTACCAAGTATACATCTCACAGTAAAAAACGAGGTATGAATGTCCTAAACGCGAAAGTTTCCATGCAGTGGCACCACGGATGTAGAGCACAAAGAATTTCAAACAGTTGAAACACTGAGAAAGGGGGCTCATGTGGACGGCCACGTGCATGGTCCGTGCACGGAGTCCACTTTGGGCCTGGAATTTGATGACCCCGAATTTTTCATCTGAGCCCTGTTGGGAAGGACAATTTGAGCGCTAGCACCCATCGCCCCCAGTGGCTCTCTCTTTCGTTCAATGACTATCAACACGAAATGGACGACAAGCGCGCCAAAACGTATGTTCTTCTTTCTTCGATGTTTCCTCGCTCACCTTGTGTCATGAATCAGACTCCAGGCGCTATCAGAATTCATTCAGGAGCAGAGAGCATTGTTGAGCAGGACACAAAGTGATATTGGTCGTCTCAATGAACTGCGGAGTCGTATCATATCGGAGCCAGTTCAGGTAGCAAACAATTTGGCAGAGGAGGTGAGGTCGTCACTGATTGGACCTTGGTATTGCGACTGACCTAGAACATTCCAGCTGAATAGCAGTACATTCAGATTCAGCGACCAGGTAGACTGTCAGGCAGAAATACCAAAGAATATCAATTGGTCTGTGTACGAAAAATTCGGTGCGGCATGCTGTGACTCGTGCGGGTGCGGTACCGTTGCTAACAATATCACATTGCTGTAGACCCTGCACCTCTCCAAGCGCTTCGGCCTCGACAGCAGCAGCAACCTTGTATCACCTCATCTAGTCTCCAAGAATTTGTCAAACAATCGCGTACCACAATCCTTGACCCTGTGTTTGCCAGACTCGACCTTTCATTTGACCCCCAACCCGAACCCGAAGAAGCGCCGCAGCCTGACCCTGCAGTGCTAAAGAAGAACCGAGAACAAGAGAAGATTAGAGAGCTCAAGAAGCGAAAGATCATTTCCAGTGGTCTCACAGTCACTAATAATGGACATCGAGTACGAGGTCCAGGGGGTGTGTTCGTTAGGCGGGATGATGCCGACGAAAACATGGATGTAGACATATCCCTCGATGATGACTCAAAACACGCTGAGCCCTCATTTCCTCCCTGCGTGGATGTAGACGTATCCATGTCAACAACTTCCAACTCCCCGCCACCGCCACCACCGCCTACATCCGTTTCACGCCCAGCAAAAGGCAAGCCACCAAGGCGTGCCTCTACGGCCCTCGCACCTCCTCCGATGGTCCTCACTAAGAGCCCTCGCGTCCGTAGACCATCGGTCAAAGCAACAAATGACGCAAAACCAAAGGGTCCCACCATCATCATTCCGGCTCTCTCCAGTGCTCGACGTCAGATAAAGTCCATTGATTGTAATGCAAAATCCACGTCACCTCCACCTCCGATTCTACCGATTCCTCCTTCAATATCAGAACCGCAATCTCCGTCTGCATCGCCTGAACCTTTCTCAGAAGATGAGAATGACGAAAATGGTGCACCTATATCAGTGCCTGCTTCCACACTTGGGAAAAGAACCCGTGAAGACAAGTCCGAAACATACAAGAAAGCATGGTCGTCGTCAGAGCAGCACCTTCTAGAGAGGCTATTGGAACAGATACCAGCCGGACAGAAGAATCGGTATGTATTACTTTGAGTTTTACGCTTTCTCCACAAATTATGCTCACGCTTATCTACAGCTGGAAGAAAATATCGGATGCAATGGATGGCCGGAGAAATCCACGCCAGGTCGCTAGTCGTGTCCAGAAATACTTTGAGAAATTGAAGCGACACGGCGTCAGTGTTGACGATTGATCCCCGTCTCGAGCTCGTCCTTTCTTGTCCCCTACTCCCATCTTTCGAACTTACACAATTTTCGAATGTCGGACTCTTTCTTGTTTCCTTTCACAGTGACTTATAATTATTAGATTAACAATTCATATTCTCGCTCCCCGTGTAGCTTTAGTAGGCAATTCTTTCTCGCCGTTAACCATGCCCCTCGCATCATCATTCCCCCAGTCATTTAGTCTATGACATCCTACTTTACACATACATACCCCAGTTGAAGTGTACATACATATTGAGTAGTGCAAAAATGTTCTAGCCAGCCAAGCTGGTACCCCGGTAGCCTATATTCGTTTTCTCCGAGGTTTTTATTGCCGTGTTTCTAGATTTATGGCCCACACGGTACAGTGAGCCGACGATGCGGTCTGCTTGAGGAACAGCCTTCCACGTCGACACAAATCACGCCGGAAAAAGCTGCCAGCTCAGGCGTTACACGTTGCAGCCCGTTCCATAACCACTTTCTTTTCTCTGTACCCTTCTCTTCTCCTCGTTATAGTCAACAATGGCCGGAAGGTTTGATCCTCAAAAGGCTCAGAATGCTGTTGAAGTGAGTGGATTGCTCAGATGAGCTGGGAAATTGTACTGATGGTGCATCTTGGAATATACAGATCGAGAAACAGTACGTCTATTGGACTTTTCACTCTTTAGGCTTTACGCAGTTCTAATTCCACATGCAAGGTTTGCTGTGCGAGCTGTTGAACAAGCTCAGGTGGGCACTCGTTCGTCTGCTCGAGGTCTAGAGATTTACATCTATGCCGTATAGACTTACTGGAATCTTTTGGAAAAAGTTCCACCAAAAGAGCTCAGGTTGACCAAGTAAATCGCTCAGTTTGCCGTTTTGGACAATACCGACCAACCTTTTCGCTTTAGACTTGACGATGAGATCTACGAAGACACCATGGCGACTTTCCCTGAACTCGCTGAACCTCCGCACGACAAACTCACCAAGTTGGATGAAGACTGGATGAAGAGCCCGGAGGGAAAGGAAAGATGGAGACAGTTCATCAATAGGTGAGCCGACAATGATACTGGCCATTACCGGCCTAGACACTAACCTGGATGCCAGGTACGAGAAAAAGGTCAAAGACTACAACTTTGGCTCTCTCATCCGCACGGACGCTCGCGATGAATACGGAGAGAAGAACACGATCTTTGGTGCGCTCTGACACGCACTTTCTCCTTCATTGAATCTAATACCTCGTTTCTAGTGACACGTATACAAGTAAGCCTATCTCATGCCCTCGCCGTCCTCGTTTTTCACCATGATCCTTTCCGCCCAGTTCTACGCCATCGAAGTCAGTGTGCTCCAACCTCCGCGTTCATATACGTTCTGACTCTCTTGACCCCCAGATTTCGCGAAACCGACTAGGCTTAAATGACAAGGCCCACGAAATCGCCAAGGCCGAGGCAGCCAAGGAGAAGGCTGAGAAGGAGAAGGCTGAGGCGGAGAAAAAGAAGAAAGAGAGTAAGAAGTAACTCTAAGACACGCGGTTTACTAGCACTGGAGATTTTCAACGGGTATACCCCCCGCTCGTTCGGTGCGTTACCCCCGGATTTGTCCTTGAGGTAAACATCTGAGTCGTTGTGTTTTAATATTGTAGATCGATAACTGTTATTGAATAAAAGAGTGTATAAATATCAAATAGCATTGGGAACTAGGGATATTTTTTGTTGGATTCTTATCAGGCATTCAAGACTGGGACGTTCTTATGTTCAACGCCTATTCCTCGGCAACCTAAACCCAGAGGTAACATTGGCATATTGCACCGTGTCTCTTCGAACCCCGCATGGCGGCAGACTCAATGCAACTTTCAGAATACACCCTGTAAGTCTCAGGTTGTTTTGCATGTGCTCTCGCAATTGCGATCCCCTCTCTTGGCACGGAAGGATGTGCCCCATCAAATCCATACGAGGCAAAGTACCTAGCATATGGAGAATAGTAAGGCTTGCATCGTTGTTTCCTTTTACAAGTTGCTGATGATTGTTTCCTTTCCAGTGTTGCATGAAGAACGATGACCGGGCACATTGCGCGCATGGTTCAACCCAACTCACGTCGTCCTTTCTCCATGCGGATATATTCTTTGCGAAGTGCGCAATAGTGTGCGACTAGTGGTATGTACTATTCCCACTTCTTGTGAGCCACTTCATTCCGCTGGTTACCTGCTAGTTTTCCGCTAGTCCAACTTCGTCGTACAGCACGACGCCACCTTGCTCTATCATGCAGGATGATCTTCAACGCGGGCTCCTCGTAAGCCGAATCGAGGGCGGCTTCTTTGTCCGGAACAAAACATATTGGATGCGGATGCTTCTACCCTGTGAGTTTGACTAATTCCCCTACTTCGAAGTCATTGGCTAGCCTTGTTCAAGTTGTTCACGCCCGTCCATCAGATCCACTTGAGTCAGGGAGAGAAGCACCTTTCGGATTCGGACGCGGTGACCTTGTATCTCTTTTCCCTTTCGAACGTTGATGCCGATGTCTACTTTTGATAGTGTGCATGCGTGCCCGCGAGTCGCGACAGTTAGCTCCCCATTGCAGCCGTATTGCTGATGCTCAGGGTGTTTTCGGTCTCTCCGCCTTGGGACTCGACTCACGAGTTGGTCACTAAAGCCTGGGCCAGGCTCGAGTCGACCTCCGGTGTATGATGTCTGATCGTCGTCTCTAATGCAGCCACAGGGGGCAAAACGAAGCTGTGGAGAGATGGACCTGCTTATTCTCCAGTTAGGAGAATGACCAGAAACGGTGGCAGTAAGTGTATTCCCAAGATCTTCGTCCGAGTAGTGACCTTCCGGTGGAATAGTCTCCCGACTTTCAACTGGTCGCATTCGCTTCATTTGCGAACATGATGCACGTCATCAAACACACCACGGCTCTCATCTCGGCGATACTTTGTTGTCTTCGGGCAAGCTGGAGAAAATGGGAAAATGGCTCCAGTAATAAATGTTCGAAAAATGCCCTCGCGTCACGTAACTCTCTGCGCATTGACCGCTATTTTCCTCAGACTGATGACAACCACTACTTTTTGGCAGATCAGAAGTGCATATCTTCGACGGGAGAACGACTCCTGGGTGCTGTGTTCGGCAGTTCCCTCTCGATGCGAGCCACGAGTTCACTTTTGGCTTTTTGCTCGGTGGCAAACTCGATCCACACC